TTGCTTCTTGAGGTAGCCCAATATTGCTATAAACTTCCCTCCTAGAACAGCCTTTGCTGCATCCCAAAGATACTGGTCCATGTGTTTTCCTTTTCATTTGTCTCCGTGTATTCTTTGATTTCCTCCTTGATTCCTTGTTGACCCGTTCATTGTTTAGCAGCATGAACTTAACCTCCATGTATTTGTGGTTTTTTTCCAGATTTTTTCTTGCGGTTGATTTCCAGTTTCATAGCATTGTGGTCAGCAAAGATGTCTGGTATGACTTTGATCTTTTCAAATTTGTTGAGACTTGTTTTGTGGCCTAATACGTTATCTATTCTGGAGAATGTTCCATATGCACTTGAAAAGAATGTGTATTCTGCTGTTTTAGGATGGAATGTTCTGAATAGACCTGTTAGATCCACCTGTCCAATGTGTCGTTCAAAACTATTTCCTTGTTGACTTTCTGTTTGGATAATCTATTCATTGTTGTAAACGGGGTGTTAAAGTCCCCTATTATTAGTGTATTACTTTCAATTATTTTATGGTTGTTATTAGCTGCTTTATTGTCTTTGGGCACTCCCGTGTCAGATACATATTTAAAATTGTTACATCTTGTTGGATTACTCCTTTTATGATTATATAGTGTCCTTTGTTTCTTATTAAAGTCACTGTTTTAAAGTCTCTTTTGTCTGATATAAGTGTTGCTACCCCAGCTTTTCGCTTCCATTTGCATGATGAATGCTTTTCCATCCCATCACTTTCAATCTGCATGTTTTTAGGTCTGAAATGAGTCTCTTCTGGGCAGCATATAGATGGGTCTTTGTTTCTTTCTTTTTTTTTTTTTTCCAACGTTTTTTATTTATTTTTGGGACAGAGAGAGACAGAGCATGAATGGGAGAATGGCAGAGAGAGAAGGAGACACAGAATCGGAAACAGGCTCCAGGCCCTGAGCCATCAGCCCAGAGCCTGATGCGGGGCTCAAACTCATGGACCGCGAGATCGTGACCTGGCTGAAGTCGGACGCTTAACCGACTGCGCCACCCAGGCGCCCCTGGGTCTTTGTTTCTTATCCACTCTGTCGCACTGTGTCTTTTGGAACATTTAGTCCATTTACATTCAAAGTAGTTATTAATAGGTATGTATTTATTGCCATTTTATTCCTTGCTTTATGGTTGTTTTTTGTAGTTCTTCTCTATTCCTTCTTTTGCTCTCTTCTCTCATAGTTAGCTGATTTTCTTTAGTGATATATTTGGATTCTTTTTGTTTTTTGCATTTCTATTACTAATTTTTGACTTGTGGTTACCATTAGGTTTGTATTTTACATTTTCTTATAGAGCAGTCTATATTAAGTTGGCAGTCACTTAAGTTTGAACTCTTTATTTACCTATATTCCTCTCTCACACATTTTAGGTATATGGTGTCATACATTATGTCCTTTTATTTCATGAATCCCCTGGTTTTTAGAGATCTACTTAATTTTACTGCTTCTGTGTTTCCTACTTTTCTTACTCCTAGAGTTTTTTTTTTTTTTTTCTACTCAGAGTCCCCTTTAACATTTCTTGTAGGGTTGCTTTAGGGGTCATGAATTCCTCTAACTTTTGTTGGCCTGGGAAACTCTTTATGTCTCCTTCAATTGTGAATGATAGCCTTGCTGGATAGAGTATTCGTGGCTGGTGATTTTTCCCTTTCAGCACTTTGAATATATCATGCCACTCCCTTCTGGCCTGCAAGGTTTCTGCTGAAAAATCTGCTGATAGCCTTATGACGTTTCCCTTGTGTATAACTGTTTTTTGCTGCTTTGAAAATTCTCTATCACTGCTTTTTGCCATTTGAATTGCTATATGTCTTGGTGTGGATCTCTTTGAGTTGATTTTGTTGGGGGCTCTCTGTTTCTCCTATGTTTTGGATTTCTGTTTCCTTCCTCAGATTTGGGAAGTTTTCAGCTATTACTTCTTCAAATTCTGCCCCCTTTCCTCTCTTTCCTTCTTCTGGGATTCCTGTAATGCAAATGTTATGACACTTGATGGTGTTCCTGAGTTCCCTAAATCTATTCTCATTTATTATTCTTTTTCTCTCTCCTGTTCAGCTTGATTGCTTTCCATGACTCTTTCAGGTCACTGATCCATTCCTCTGCTTCCTCTAGTCTATTATTTATTCCATCTAGGGTCTTTTTCATTTCAGCTATTGAGTTCTTTGTCTCTGGTTCTTTGTTTTCTGTCTCCCAGTTAAGATTCTCACTGAGGTCCTCCACTCTTTTCTCAAGTCCAGTCAGTATCTTTTTGACCATTACTTTAAATTCTCTATCAGGCATATTACTTATCTCCATTGTGTTTAGCTTTCTTGCTGTGATTGTCTTGTTCTTTCATTTGGGACCTATTCCTCTGTCCCCTCTTTTTGTTTAACTCTGTGTCTATTTCTGTGTGTCAGGAAAGTCAGCTATGTCTCCTGCTCTTGAAAGTAGTGGCCTTATGAAGAAGAGGTCCTGAAGCACAGTGCTCCCTGTTCGCCAGAGCTTGGTGCCTGAGCAGTGTCTCCTGTGTGTGTTGCATGTGCCCTATTGTCACAGAGCCACTTTTGCCTTCAGTCCAGTCATCCGAACTAGCTCTTTTTGCCTGTTGTGGGCTGAATTTGGTACCTACGTTGTTAGTGGGCCGGTCTGAGGCCACCTTGGGCTGGAGTTGAATTAGGCCAGGTGTTTGCTGGAGACGTAGTAGCAGCAAATTGCAAGAGAAGGTGGGAGCAATGCACACGCAGTGCCAGCAAGGTCCCCACCAGTGGGAGGGGACCTGTAGCCCCCAACAGCGGCAGGCTGAGTTGGAGGGGGCAGACCCACAGACGTGGGGGGAGGCAGGAAGCCTGATATTAGCAAGGTTTGCAGGAGTCTGCTATGGGAGGAGACCTGGTGCAGAGGCCTGGTGGAGGGGTCGTGTCCACAGAAGAACACAGGGGCAGAGCACACTGTTAGCAAGTTAGGTAGCGATCGTTGTGGCCTGGCTGTTTCCCATGGGTGTCTAGGCTGGGAGGGGGGCACGGGGAGGGAAATGGCACCTGACACCTCCTTTGTTCCTAGAGAAGTGTCCCGTCGATCCCTGCCCCTCCAGCACCAGCTCTGAGATAGATTAGTAAACAAATCTTCCTCCCGTAGGCCACAGGGGAGTTTCAAACTGCTGCTTCTATATTTATTTCCCGGGTTTTTTATCGTGCTGTTTCTTTAAGGGCAGAGGTCCAGTTTCCTCTCTCCCTCCCAGCTCTCTCAGAGCATGTTAATTTAAAAAAAATTAAGTTTATTTTCGAGAGAGAGAGTATGCGAGAATGAGCGGGGGAGGGGCAGAGAGAGAGGGAGACGCAGAATCCGAAGCAGGCTCCAGGCTCCGAAAGGTCAGCATAGAGCCCGACGCGGGGCTCGAACTCATGAACCACGAGATCGTGACCTGAGCCAAAGTCAGACACTTCACCGGCTGAGTCACCCAGGCACCCCAGAGCAAGCTGATTTTTAAAGTTCTGGGTTTTAAGCCCCACTGATTGTAAGAACTGAAATTTGGCCCCTTTGGTTTTCACGGCCAAATGTTATGGGGATTTGTCGTTCGCATGTGGGCTTCCCAGTGTAAGAGTGTATTTCTGTCCCCTCTCTGCAACCTGCAGTGTCCTTCCAGCGGGCAGTCCCACGGTCTGTTTAGCTCCCAACTGTGTCTCTGCCCTTCCTACACTCTATGTGGCCTCTTGTCTACCTTTAGCTGTGGAAAGACTGTTCTTCCAGCCTTTGTGTCATTTTCTGGGTTATTTGCACTGATGTGTCTGTTACCTAGTTGTATCTGTGGGGCAATGTGAGCTTAGGGTCCTCCTACTCCTCCACCTTCCCTGGAAGTCTGGCTTTCATTTCTTAATGGTCCCTGTGGTTATGCCTCCTTCTCAGGATTATTTCATATTCAGCCTGCTCCTGCCAAGACATCCGTTTCCTTCCAGTCTGTGAACCTGAAAATGTTATAGTCAGCATTTCACTTGTTCTTGTAAATCTTATTTCTTCAATTCCCACTTGTTACTAAACCAGTTGTATTTTTACTCCTTAGTACAAAACTACACCATGCTGTTGCATGTGGTAAGAGATGTTCACAGACTGGCCAAGTCGCCCCAGTGCAGAGAAACGAGATGCCCCTTGTGTTTTCCTTTTGTTTCAGGGTTTGGGAACTGGATGAGCTCAAGTTTTTGGCTTTAACAACTTAGTGTGAAAAGTCCAAGACCTGTTGTCGGAGCTCGGAATGCTTCCTTCCTGATAATGGGAAGATGGGGTCCACCTTTGGGTGATTCTTAAATTTGCCAGTTGATGGGACGCTGTATCAATAGCTAATAATTATTGTTAAGTACACAATGCCTATGAGGCAGGGACTGTTCTTATCCACCTTTTACATCTGGGGAAACTGAGGCACAGGCTGACTTGGTTTACCCAGTGTGGCTCAGCTATAAACATAGAACACAGACATAATTTTTAAATGGCTGTATCATTTTATCCTTCTCCTCTGCTTGAGATGATTCTGAGTTTCTAGCCAGGAAAAGCGCATAAAGTTTTCAGAATGTTCATTGAAACAAAACCTGTTTTACAACAGCTACAACAAAAACTGTATAAGGGGCAGGATTGCCCGTAGAGTGTGTGGGCCTGGGCAAATTATTTCTGTGGGTATCCTGTGTACACAAGCAATTTAAGACCGCCTCAAATCAATATTCCAGCACCATTCTGGTGACCCAATTTCACATGATCCCACAAAAAAAACTAAAATACTGTGCTGGTCATCAGGAACAAACTGTTCACCAGGAAGCTCTTCTAGAAGCCAGCTCAGATCCTATAGGTGTGGGTTCTGGAGCTCTTTGGGGGCATCTGGCCAACCTTACGCTCTAAAGGGACGAAACGGGAACCAGCTGGTCCCGGCCACCAGAGGGGACCATGGGGAGGCACTTCCGGGAGCCAGAACCCATGCAGGACCCTGTATGTGCTTGGGACACCCCACCCACATGGTACGATTGGTTCCAGGCACTGGAAGTGGGGCTTGGCAAGTCCCCAAGAAGGCATTCCAAAGGCAAAGTTGTGGTGTTGGTAGAGGGGTCCTGAAGCACAGGGCCCGGGGCAGGGATCCTGACCAGGGTAGAGCTGACCAGTGGGTGAAGTTTGAGCAATATTAAGACTAAACAGCAATCACTTCCAAACTCTTAGGTGCTTTAGCTATAAGGGGGGAGGGTGGGGGTGAGGGATGGAAAGCTGTTGTCAGGAGGAAGCCAGCTGGAAAGTTCTAGTATTTAAATATTCTCTTTGTGGGTTTGGTAAAAGACACTTTTCGCTTTTAAATTGTGTAAAATGTTCAAACAAAGAATTGCTTTTCCTTTCAAGTGGCCAGCTCAGCCCAGCTGTCTGTGAATGCTCTGCAACCCTCTGTGAGCTGGCCCAGGGTGGACATTAGACATCTTCTTTACCTAGATGCCCTTCTCAACAGGTTTAAAGACCGATTATGGCAGAGCTACCCTGATGGGAGCAGGGAGAGAAGTGGACAAAGCTAGGTTGACCTCCTGACGCTGCCGCTTTGGGCAGGTGGGTTCTGAGCCCCGGTGCTAGATGGAGGGATAGCATCTTGCCTACCCCCTGGGGCTGAGACCAGGATTAAACCTATACGGGGTATCTGTATGAACTCAAAATGTAAAAGGCAAATTTGAGCAGCATCTCTAGAGAAGAAAAGATACACCAAAGCACTCACTGCTTTCAGCTGTTTTATTGCTAAACTATCATGATATAAGCCGTATAAAAATACTTTACATATAGCAAAAATAAACTACATTAAACTGGAGATTAAAAACATTTTGCATAGGAATGTGATGTATTCAAACTTCCTTAACAGTCAAGATTTTTAAAACCTAAGCCTTCCAGCACCACCCTGTTGGAGAGAATTCTGTTTGTTGGAGAACTACTTACGGCATGGTCAACATTTTCTCCCCTCTGAGGGCTGTAGAGGCAATGGGGGTAAGGGAGGTTCTTTGACAAGGTGCTCAGGGTCTAAACTTGTCCCAAGGGCAGTGCCGAAAGCCCGTGCCCTAATGGAAAATGTATCCTTTGCTTCCGATGCGTCCAACCCGGGACGGGGCAGGTGTTTGGGCTGCCGACAGCTGCATGAAGGCAGGGTGTTAAACGTTTTTTCCAACGCCCAACATCCCGTCTCCTTTTCAGAGGGGCTCGCTTAGGGACCATCTCCAGCTCACCATCACAGAAACGTTTGTTTTTAAACAAACTGAGTTAAGATGGTGACGTTGGCTATAACTGAAGGTACTCCCGACAGCGGAGGGAAACTGATGTTTGCAATCACAATCCTTTGTGACACTTCTTAAGCATGTAGCTGGAATGCAGGAAAACCCGTGCATTGGCTGGTTTGGCTCCATGAGGTTTAAGGCCTAAGCCCTGGGCTTGGAAGACTGGCGGTTAGGATGTGTTGGGTACCTGCTAAAGGGTCATCCCTCCAAAAAAAAAAAAAAAAAAAATGGATGCCGGACCTTGTCAGGAATGTCCCAACCCCCATGCCTCCTGTAAACGTGAACAAAATTGTTAGCCGGACCTCTGACGGTCTTTCAACTGTGAGTAGAAAGCACTTGGGAAGCATTTTTTGACATGAAAACAAACACATTCAGCCTCCCTTTAGTCTGTTGTAACAACCAGAACATATCCGCTTCCAATCTAAATGTTGCAGCTCCCACGCTGGCCAAGACGGACTTCCTGAGACCGACGTCTTGGCTACTGGATGTAAACGAGAAAGGCCCCATCAGTGCTTTCCAGTTTTTCGAAGGAACCATCCTGATTCATCTAGGGTGTGTCTATGCTGGAAAACTCTGCATGTCCTTTGGATAATGCATACAGGGGTTACCTAGCGGGATTTGGTCAGCTCTGTAAACGGTAGCCTGCACCCAGGGTTCTGTGAACTTTGCGAAGTCTTTCAGAATCCCGTTACCACACAGGCGGTTTTGGTTTTAACTCACGATCACCTACTAGGCCACTTCTTTGGGGGATCTAAACACTTTACAAGACAGTTCTCCTCCGTGACCAGACGCAGGCTCAGAGGTGAAGTCCGTGTCCTCTCTGGCAACAGATGGTTCCTTTTTCCACAAAGCCATCCCCCTTCTTTCTCCAAAGATGCTTTCTTCTAAGACTCAGGTGACTGATAAACTCTGAGGTGGGTAGTTTCGTGGGGCTTTTTTTTGGTGGGGGGGGGGGGGTTGGGGGTTTTTTTTTTTTTTTTTTGTATTTTTGTTTTGTGTTTTTGCTAGCACGATTCACAAATTTTCAAGGATACATCCTTGGGGTGGGGGGGGGAGGCGGAAATCCTCAGCATATGTAAAAAGAGACACTTGCAAGAGATTTCAACCATTTATAAATATTTTCTAATTCCAACAGGGGTGTGTGATATTTTCGGGACAGATAAAAAGCATAAAAATACAGGTAAGAAAATAAAATTTAATAACCTACTACTTTGGGTTGCTATTATATATTATCAGGCAGCAGTATTTTTGTACATACAGGAAGACTTGCAAACTCGGGAAATATACTACATTCAGCAACACGGTAGATTCCTGTTAGCAATGCTACATATTTACATTACCTTGGATGTAGCAAGTGCAAACCTCCACCTGAGATCCTTCTCACACGTGCAACACACACCTTTCCCACTTAGACATCCCTACTTTCTCCTTCTCTGTAGAGGATCCTATTGCCTCTTCCCAGACCGAAAATATTTTGTGAGCAATTCCTCTTGGCAAAATCTCCTCCTGGCATTTGTTCCTGACCAAACTTTCTCGCTAGCTGTCGGTTCCTAATACACATTCTCTCGCCTGTTTATGTCTCAAAACGAATGCTTTTTGCTTCTCTTTCCCTCGCTATTTGGGAGAGTTGTTTATGAAAGGGCTTCCTCTAATATCCAGCCTAGGTGGTCTCAGAAAAAGCCTGTGCGTGCGTTATACACACACACGTACGTGCACAGGTTCGTGCAAGAGTTGGAACTAGCAGGAGGCCCTTTTCACTAACCTAGAAGACTGATGGAAAACGCGTTAGCCCTTGTTCGCCCCATCCAGGCACAATGAAGCAGAGCGACTTTGCTATAATAGCAGGAAGGCACTTGGGTAAAACATTCAGATAACTGAGGAAGGCCAATATCCCTCATGTGCAAAGAAAAAAAAAAAAAAAGGGAAATGGTTCCTAGCCAGGTCAAGTGAGAACAGATCTCTCACCAAACACTGACTCTGCCCCAGCGAAGTCCAATGTTGCTGGAGAGACTGCTTTGGGTAAAGCTGCTGGTGTAAGGAAACTTTTCGTGAATTAGGAAGAATTTCACATCCCAGGAGCTCTGCGGCAATTTGCGTAAACGAGGATTTTGCTAAACTTTGTGCTTGGGGTGGGTGGAAGAGAGGTCCCTGGGTTGTTAGGGGGAAAACAAATGCTAGGCCTCGATGAAAAGGTCACACCCTGGGCTTTCTGTCCACTCTCTGGAGCACCAGACCCACCAGGTTCTAGTCACCAAGCCTCACGCTCCTGGAAGAGCTGTTGGGAAGGTTTAACCTCCGGATAACCTTGACTAGGAAGCCAGGACTTGTAAATGCCACGGGGAGACCTCAACGGCCAGGATTCTCTTCGTACGCTTCTCCCTAGCAGATCTGAGAAATCACGAAGCAGAGCCTTTCGAAGAGCGCCGGGACCTCTGCATTCTGTTGTTGATTACGGGGGAAGAAACCGAATGGCCGAAAACGAATCCCTGGCTTGTCCCGGGGTGTCCACGGTACATGCAAACAGGAGCGCATCTGGGCCATGAGAACCCACCCCTGCGGAGGACTCCAGAGTTTTCTGTGTTTGCAGAAACTGCACCAGAGGAGGCAGACTCATGAGGGCTCGCTCTGCGCAGTGGAGACAGAATTTGGGGGCCAATCACCATGCAAGCGGTCCGGGCAGAGCTCTGTCCAACTGCGGACTGCACGTGGGCTGGTTCTCTTCGATGCGGATGCAGGCGGCTAATGCAGACAGGTCTTGGGGACCGAGGGACGCTTGAAAGGGCTTCAGGTAAAGATCACCAATGAACTTTGGGGGCCACAGCCTGCGATGGCGTCCCACGTGGAGTTGCGGGGGAACCCACTTAGAAAAAGAAATGCTTAGGCCTGCTCATTGCCTCATTTCTCACAATTTAACCAAAATACCTTCCCTTTTTTTTTTTTTTTTTTTTGGTGGTTTTAGCTCCTCTTCAATTCCTTCTCAAAATTCAATGCACATGCCTGAGATTGTTGTTCCTCGCTAGTTTACGGGGGAAAAAGCACTCCCGTTAGGAAGAAAGCAAGCGAGAGCAGCAGAAAGCCATTAGGTTGCAGGGGTGCGGAGGTGTTCACACTGCAGCCTGCGGTCCCTGCTGGAGTCCGACCGCCCGCTGCAGGGGTGAGGAACTGCTGGCCTGGAGCGAGCCCCACCCTCCAGCCAGCTTTTTGAAGCAGAGGAAAAAAAAAATAACGTGTACACGTGTCATAACTTAACGCCGAGTTTTAACAGGCCATCTTGTTAGGGGCCACTTGTGCTTCAGAATGAGAAAACTCAAAAATCAGGCTTTCGCTGTGGCCCAACCGTGGCCAGGAACAGGCGATCCCTAAGGATGACGGTCCGGCTTCCGTTTTTCTTCAGCCCATAAGCCAGACTCTTGGGTCACGTTCCCTTGGCTGCTGTTTGAAAACTCCTTTTCCTTCAAAAGGTACAGGAGGTGTATCTGTGACCTGGAAAAATGAACGCAGGGCTGGGGTTTAATGACACGGCCCACATCTTCCACCCCCCACCCCAGCCCACGCCCTGAGCTCCGGTCAGTCCGTTCTCGGGGCCGTCGCGGCGTGCTGTCTTGTGCAGAATGTGTTTTTTTTTTTGGTCAGCAGGCACTTAAGGACACCATGAAAGTCAACCGAGATGCTCTTTGGGATTTAAAACAAAAATCAAAAAGGCAGAGCGTTCTCCCTGGTGTTTACACAGAGAGGTGGCGAGCTCCTTAATCGAGGGTCAGCTTTGCCAGAACATGGTCCCGCGTGTGGCCTCCGGGCCAGGAGATGTACAGTAAAGAGAACAGAAGGTGAGAGGCAGTGGAAGGCTCCGAGGGGTCAGATACGGAAGGTGTCTTGCTAATGGCATCTTCTACGTCTGATTTCTGGCGGGAGGTCCTGAAAACTCCTTCCTGATAATTTCATTAACTACAAAAGAAAAGAGAAAGAGAGAGAGAGAGAGGAGGGGCGAGTGAGAGGGCACCAACAACACGGGTCGGATTAGCTTTCTAGAACCTTTAAACAAACAAACCACGCTTTTGTTCTCTCCGATAATACGTTGGACAATTTTTAACGTAAGAAATGCCTTCCTGTGCTTTTTCTGTTTTCCTGGACAGTAATATTTTGTGCTACGGATGTGTTTGTGAAGGGAACTTTAAAACATTGTGGCAGAAATTGAGCTGGGCCCTAGGGCAGGATCTAAGTATGTTCAGGCTCTCTGCTGACTACCACACTCCTTCCGTTATTACAGCATCCGGAAAATACCTACTACGAGACTAAACCATAGTTGACCCACAAAGCATTCAGTTCTCAAAAGAGACTTTTCAAAAGAGAGCAGATGGAGATACCACTGAGAGTAGCCATCAGTGTAGACGACATCTCTCTCAGCACAACCAGAAATTCTGGCCTTACCCCGCCCCCCACCCCACCACCCATGCTGGCGAAGTGTCCTCTGTCCGAGGGGCTCTGGAAAATTCGGTCACCCCCTCCCCCACAAGGGAACCAGGAATGTAATGCCAGCCCCTGACATCAAGAAGCTGGTTCTCTTCTCCCATCTCGGCCCCCTTATCCAGGGCCCCTGTCTCTGTAAGCAAGGCAGGAAGGTCTTAGAATGGGGATCTGGCAAAAAAGAAAAAAAAACAAAAACTTTCTTGGTAAAAAGTTGCTCTCGGCAGCAGCCCAGATCTGCGGCAGGGGGTGTGCACAAACCCGAGGGCTATGTAACGCCCTTGCCTGTGTAGTGGGATGGGTCGACTGGTCCCAGGGGCAGGAGGAGAGCGGGGAGGAGGGAGACCCCTGTTGGGTGCCTTCGAAGGTTCTTAATCTCCCCTCCCCCGCCGCCTCCCGCAGTCCTCTTCGTGGGGTTCGTCTTTGATTACCTTACTGTAATCCTCCCTGCTTATTTTCTGTTTCTGTTGAGATTTGCTCCAAGCCCCCCCCACCCCACGCTCAAGCGGAGCCCTCCTAGGTCCAGCATGCTCTTCCCAGAAGACCCCTGCGTGGACGAGTCTGAAAGCCCCAGGGAAAGCACAAAACTTTCCCAAAAAAGCCAACTGCCCTTGAGCTGGAAAAGGCACGCTTGACCTTGGGCTCCCTCACTCCACTGGTAGCGGCGTGACTCTACCTCTCTGTGCCTCGGTTTTCTCCTCCGGTAAGCGGAATCCACGCCGTGTACGGCTTAGTCCCTGGTAGGCACTGAGGCCCATGCCTGCTCCTGGCGCCCGCCTGGCAAATGGTGTTCCGTAGCGGCTGGCTCCACTCCCCACACCCCCAGGCTCGGGGTCAGACTCTGAATGAGTGCTTTGCCTCGGTGGGCTTCGTTTTGTGCTAGAAACTATTGAGGCATGGCTCCCTGTTCTTCAGGTATGCGCTGAAAGCACGTGCGAGGTGGGAGTTTGGGTTAGCATCCCTTCTCTGCTGCCTCCTTACTTGAATTTGCCTCAGTCTCCCCATCTGTAAATCGGGTCTAAAAACGCCACCTCCCTTCTAGGGTCCTAGAGGAGCTTGGATAAGATCATGCAAGTGATGGACTTATCACAGTGCCCCGTGTCTGGCAGGTGTTCACAGCATGGTGCACATTAGGTATGAGATGTTATACCTACGGAGGTACACGTGCATAGTATTAGCACAGCAAAGCGTGGCCGCGGATCCATTAATAGCTCAGAGGATGAATTCACATTCAGCAAACCAACGTTGTTGACCGGGCACTTACTGTATACCAGGTACTGGCTGAGCGGACTCCCAGGGGCCCTAAAGCAGGAACCCAGCCCACCCTTCTGTGAACCCTGCCCGGGGCCTGGTAAGCTGAGAGCCCTTTGTGAGGCAGGCAGGGAGCCACAGGGGGAGCAGAATGCCAGGGGGAGGGAGGTGGGGTCAGTGCAGCTTCATGGGAAGCTTTTCAAAGCCCGGATTCTGAAGGGCTTCCTGTTTTCTCAATCTAGGAAACCAGAAGAGTCGATCCTTAATGGAAACTTTCCACAGCCTCGGCTTTCTAAAAATATCTGGTAGGCAGCCATGTTGGCACCACGGCCCTCACTAAAGGGTCGCTCCCCCTCCTCAGAAGGCAGGGGCTGGGGCCGGGGCGGGGGTGGAAGGTAGGCGCCGTGTTCAAGCACAGAGACGCTCTGCCCGCTTCCTGAAAGCTAGAGTCAGGTAGATGCTAATAGTTGCGTCTGGAAAACTCCGGACAGCGTGCACTTAGACCTTCATGTGGTTGGGGGTGGCGAGGGGGGCGGCTGTGGGCCCAGGCCCCGAAGTGAGGCCCACTCAAACCCCGCAGAAACCTCTCTGGCTAGAGGAACCTTCTCTTGCTGAAACCTCAGGGCTGGCTCCCCTGGCTGGGAGCAAGGAGAAAGTTCTAGAGCAGGAGTGCCAGCTGGGTGTTGGCAGGGGCGGCGCCGGCCCCCCCACTTGGGGGACCTCGAGCCCAAGACGTGGAGGGTCTCTGCTCCAGAGCCAGGTCTCCTGTCTGCAGGGAGGTCTCCCCTCTGCAGCCACAAGTATTCAAACCAGTTCCCTGATGCCCACCATGCAACCTCTCCCTGGGTCCTCCCCCGGCTTCTGGACTGGATGGGACGGGGTGGGGGGGGCTCCTGCCTCAGCCCTGCCGCACCTCCTTCTCCAGCTCTCGTCTCCCTCTGCAGCTCTACCTGCTTAAATTAAGGTCTCCCTTACACAAAAACCCTGCTCTGGGTGCCCCCTGCTTCCCTCGCCAGCCCCGCAGGCTTCTACCTGCACTCTGCTGGGAGAGTAGCCCAGCGGCCCCTTTCTCCTCACTCCTCCATTCAAGGCTCTGCTCCCTCTCCTGCTCTGCGCTGCATCCCCCCAGTCCTGCCCAGTCTCCTCCAGGTATCCGTTCCAGGCAGTTCACCAGCTAGTGCTTTATGTTCTTGTTCCCCCACGGAACCCTCCGCTTTTAAACAGGGCCTCGGGAGGTGCTCATTGACACCTTTCTGAGCTTCCTTTTTCTCCTCAAGTGGTAAGTAGCCTCAGGTCCCACAGACAGGCTTCGTCCCCACTGAGTGCTGAAACACGGTTCTGTATCAGCCTTCTGCGTTGCATCCAGTCAGTAAATGCTTTGAGCATCTATCCTAGGCCAACTTTTGTATCTTTCCTCCCACCTCTTCCCAAACTGGGCCACACGCATTTCTCCAACAGCCCCTCTCCTCGTCCCAACGCCACCTTTGCACGGAAGCTGTCTCCCACTCCTACCCTCGGGCCCTCACTTCCTCCAGAAGCAAATAGCGAATTCTCACAATGCTTTGCTTGCAACCTCCTAGGCCAGGTTATTTGAGTTTCCTGTGTCCTCAGGGTGCCATGCATAGTGCCATGCATACAGCAGGTACCTAATGTATGCATCTCAGCCCCCCACAGATATCCCACACCACAGCCTAGGTCACTTGGTTTGGAGAAGCTGTCTTTCCTCTGCCCTCCAATTGACAAATGGGTTGCCAATCTGTTACTTGTCTGGAACCTTTTCTCTACAAAAGAATATAAGCCATTCGCATTTATGGAAGGCTGACTGCGTGCCACGCACTGTAATAAATGCAAAGTTTTTTCTTACGCCAAACCTAGCAATACAAGCCTCGCCTCATAGTTGGAGATAGGCAGTCCCCTGCCATACCAGGTGATGGAATTGTGATTTGAACTCAAGGCCCATGTATTAACCTGAACCCTAGATGGCTACACAATTGATGAAACTGTGCTATTAAGTGCAGAAGTCATCATGTTTTTTCCATGGTCCTGGCGTCCTCAGTGTTGTGTGTGTGTGTGTCAGGAAAAGGCGAGGGCAGCCTCTGCGAAGTTAACAGCAGAGAAGGCCATATGCTGAGTGGTTAAGGCGGTCATTGAGTATCACTTTCTCAGAACAGAATTGAGGCTAATGGTGTCGCCTCTACCACAGGCAGCCCTGACCTTTTATCACCCCTAGCGCGAGGCGCCGTGATGAAAACATTGATGAACGTGTACAACCTCAGGGTGATTTCTAAGCCTGACACCTAAGGCTGAAACCAGAAAGGAAAAGATCGACAGATGTAAGTATATTATAATTATATATATTTTCTCTTTAAAACTCTGGAAAAATCAAGCAGAGAGAATAAAAATAAAACCCTTCTAATAAAGGGCTGTTGGCATAAAAAGAATATGAGGGATCATCAAACTTCTTCTGTAAAGGGCCAGACAAAAATATTTGCAGTGCTATGGGCCCCCTACTCAACTACCCAGCTCTGCCCTGTAGTGTGAAAGCAGCCATAGACAGTATGTGAGCAAACGGACATGGCTGTGTGCCAATAAAACTTTATTCGCCACAACAGACCGGGGGCCAGATCTGAACAGGCCAGTTGCCAACTGGCATGAGACTTAGTGTACCAGCCCCTAGTATATACCATGGCAGAGCAGTGTTTTTTCACCTACTTTTTTTTTTTTAATTTTTTTTTCAACGTTTTTATTTATTTTTGGGACAGAGAGAGACAGAGCATGAACAGGGGAGGGGCAGAGAGAGAGGGAGACACAGAATCGGAAACAGGCTCCAGGCTCCGAGCCATCAGCCCAGAGCCCGACGTGGGGCTCGAACTCACGGACCGCGAGATCGTGATCTGGCTAAAGTCGGACGCTTAACCGACTGCACCACCCAGGTGCCCCACCTACTTTTTTTTAGGGGGGGGAGGGGAATAAAGCCAATGCCTCTTACTTGTGCTGTTCCTCAAACAACCCTAGGTGTTTATGTCTACAAACTTGGATTTCTCTTAGCATCCCACTCTGCCCTAGGAATGTTACGATTCCCTTGAAGGGCCAGACACCTGCAATACTGACTTTCATTCAGCTGAGCTCAGAGGTTCTCAAACTTTACCTTGCAGCACAGCTGCTCAGAGGTGCATGTAGAAAACCACATGGATATACACGGTAGGTGTAATTTAAAAGCCCGTCAGGGGTCACTTTGACTCTGGGCCTTTTCCTCTTAATTGCTGACTTTGGAACTTAATTCCCCGAAAAAGCAACAACAGGAAGGAGTGGAGAGACCCCCTCCTGTTGCTCTCCCCCAAAGCCTCAAGCATGTTTTCTCAAATCTGGTTAGATCATGTGAGTGCCCACAAGAGTCTGGGGGCCAGCCACAAGGTCCACAGCCACTCCTCGAGCTTGGACAGGAGTGGGGGAGGCTGCATTCTCTAGGCCAGAGGGTCTAAGAGCCAGGATAGGGGCAGGGTCCACTCACTACCCCTCTTCATCCTACAGCACTTGGCCGAATCTCCTCTCGAGACCCATGCTTGGGGCAGGGAGGCTGGACCAGGAAGCCCATGACGTGTGCTCTGGGTGATTCTGTCCCAGACAGAATCCTGGGACAGCTGAGGGTGAGCACCCGGCCTCTTCCCCACTAGCATGTGGAAAAGGGCTGAGCAGGCAGGTGGCCCTTGGCCCTTCTCCTGTGACGCTGATACCAAAACTGAAATGATCTGTCCTCTAAGAACAAAACTCTTTTTCGCTCTGCTTTTTGCTGGCTCAGGAACTTTCCAGCCACCTCTGTGTGCTCTGGGGGAACTCGGGAACAGTGAAGAGCTTTCCAGATGGGCCAGGCCAGACTTTAGACTCCGCGAAAAAGACAAAAAAAAAAAACCCTTGACAGGCCTGAAGCCCAAAGCCTTGGGTGGGGTCTGAGAGGTACAGGATAGTAAATCCCCCAGGGGCCCTGGACATCAGAGCCAGCTTGCCAAAGTTCCCAGGCCCCCCTGTAAGGTCAGAAGCATTGCCAAGTGCTAATACCAGGGAGGGAAGAAACACGCTTTAAAAAGGCCCCTTCAGGACTCTGGTTTACACTGTCCACACTGACATTTTAGCTGCATTTTTGTCACCCTGAGTCCCGGATCCGAAGCCCTCGGGAGGGAGTCTGGCACCTGGTATTCAGCAAATGTTCCCTGATGGCATTGTTGCCTTTGTGGACAGCGTTTGATAATTGCTGTTGGAGAATGTGCCAGAGAAACACCCCCCCGCAATACCCCTTTCATGCTGCTACTAGGAAGTGTCAGCATGTCTTATCAGCAGAGCCCATCCCTCCAGAATGTCCAGGCCACTGTGTGTGCGGACGGGCGTGGCAGCTGGCAGTGAATTTGGGTGCGTTTTCAGAACAGCTTGCAGAACAGCTGCTCAGAGGTGCCTATAGAAAACCACATGGACATACACGGTAGGTGTAATTTGAAAGCCCATGTGATGCCGCCATGAACTTCTGGGCCTGGCCTTGATGGAATGAACCTACTTTATCTGACCAGGGAACCCTTCAGAAGCCACAGCCCGATGAGCCAGGGAGATGTCAGGGGGCACGTAACCAACAACACCGCCGGCTGACTTCTGGTGAGTGTACTTCGTGTGCTGAATCGAATCGGCATGTGCACAGCATTCAGTCACAGCAACAGCATCTAAACAGCCGAGGCACAGTAAGGTAAAGCAACAGCCTCACCGTCCCAGGGGGACTCTACATTCACAGAGCATCCTGCCCCCTGTGCTGTAAAGTCTGCGTGAGTTACCAGGCTCTTCTACGCAGGCCCAGAGTCCAAAGTCAACTGAGGTATAGATCCAGTGCTTGAAGCTACATCAGGGGCTCTGCTGAGTTCAGTGGGAAAACCACAGCTCTATCGTGGACCAAGCACAGTACCCTCCGAGAGCAGCTTCCCGGGGCTTCTGATCTACCTTCCCCGTCTTGTTCCCCAATGCAGAGAGTCTTACATAACTGGATACACCAAGCAACATGTACAAAACCAAAAAGGAGCTGGTCCAGTGCAGGAGCAGAACTCTCAGAGGTGGGAAGGTGGCCTTGCTATACTCTTCCTGGGAGGGGGTGATGGGGCCCCTGGGAGAACATGCAAATTCCCAGGGCCTCCTCTCCTCTCTCTCCTCCCCACCCCATCCGTGAGCTCCAGCCTCCCAGACCAGCTCAGGGATGGACCCCAGGGGTGTCCCCTTACAGAGCGATGGGGGCTAGCCTGCAGGAAATGGTGTCTGTGAGGACGGCTGGGGAAGATTTCTTCTACTAAAAGTAATTCAGGTTAAGGAAACACACAGCTGGAAAACAAAAGGAGAAGCAGAAGAGGTCAATTACCTTTGACTTTGATTTCTCGGATCAAAGATCACAGTCATTCTGTTTCATAATATGTTTTGTATCCAGCTAAGGTGTGTGTCTATCAGCTCTGAAAAAGATTGGCAAAATCATTTTTGAGAAGAAAAAAAAAAAAATCACCTTTGCCCTCTATTACACTCCGAACTCAGGTTAATATCATCCGTTTAATGGGTAGCTCTTCACCTAGGGCCAACGCAGAACCCAGGACAGAATTTAACCCTCCGGCTGTAGTTTAAGCCCACATTCTGTATCCTCTTAAAACCACTGTGCCGGAATTAACCCCAAACCAGTGTAGTAGTCACTGAGAGGAGGGACTTAGTGCCAAGAAATGAGGGTCCCTGAGATCAAAGGACACCCGCGAGGTGATGGCGTTTTGTTTTGTTTTTTTCTAAGCTAGACAAAACAGCCCTGCCTCCTGCAGGCCACGGAGCTGCGAATCAGGGCCGACTGAAGAGAGGAAAACGTACACGCTAGCTTCTGCAGCAAAGAACGTCAGAATTACACGAGGAATCGATTCAAACGTAACCCTCCTTCAGGCTTTTCTACGTGCTAAATCTGACCCGTTTCCTTCTTACAAGTGATAGAACCTCAGTGCGCATGCAAATTCATAAGACTGCACATTTTCTTCCTGTTTTTTTTTTTTTTTTGGTTGACAGTGAAAAAAAGTTCCTATTTTTATAGCTCCTGCCCAGTCAGCACACGGAGGGCCCTTAAAAGGGGGTGGTGATGAGTGTACATGACAAGCAATAAACTCCCCCTCTACAGCAGTTTTCCAATCACTTGTTCTCTTAATCCCCTTTAAAAAGTGCAGAGTAAAGGGCCAGGGTCCGTTTCGCCTGCGCTGAGAAATGTTTTCTGGGATGAATTTCTTACAGGGAGCGATCCAACTTTTACTAGCCGTAGCTTTATCAGCATCGTTGGGCAAACCAGGATGCTCTCTCAGAGGCGGGGCACAGACTCCCGGAAATCTCCCCTTCGAGGTGGAGAACCCTCAAATAATGAGAGCTTTCCGGCTGGGCTCCATTCGGGTTGGCTGGGTTGGGGTTAGTAGGCACAGCAGAAAATAACCAGCTCCTCCAGTGCAGTTGCTGTGAACAGTTTGGACCCTGCGTTTCAGGCCACCTCCCGAAGCAAAACCATCCACTCCCCAAAATTCCGGGTGGCCATGGCCCCACCAGCAGTTTCCTCACTGGACTGCCTTAGCTCCAGTGCACCGTGGCTTGTTCACCCCAAGAGCAAAAGGCATCGTCAGACCATTCATTCGAGGCCTTAAAATACCATCTGTATCCCAACAGTGGTCAAATTAATGTCTTCAGCCCAGACCTCACCCTTGACCTTCAGACTTTGCCATCTAACTACCCACTGGGCATCCCAAACTGAATATGGCCAAAGCCGATTTCCTGATTCTCACAGCGGGCCCCCCCCCCCACTTGTTCCCATCATAAGAAACCTCACTCTCTTCTTCCGGTTATTCAGACCAATCTCGGTCACCGTTCACATCCCTCCATATGCAAATGCTTCTGGGTTTACCTTTGAACTAGATCTGGGAACCAGCAGCCCCTACCACCTCCTGTCTCGATCACTACATCGGCCGCTCCCCTGTGTCCCTGACCCGGTGCTGGGATCCCTGGTCTCTGCCCAAGAACTGGTGGCTCTGAAGGCACAGCAGTTGGTCAGTCGTTACTCCCAGAAAAACCTTAGGTGCTCTAAGGGCCAACAGGTTCCACTCTATCCATCTACACTCAGTAGACATCAAGTGCCACGCACAGGTCCAAGGTCACATGCTTGGAGCAGCGAGCCCAGTCTAGGGGGGAGGCCCGGGGACCATGCCTTTAAGGCCAGCCAGCCAGTACCCAAGAAGCAAGCCCTGCTCTGACTCTGCTCCCCAGCCCTCATCAAGAATGTTCAGAGAATTTATAAAGCATTCACCTAACTGGTTTGCAGCCTTTTGAGGTACAGCTTCCTGTTTAGTCATGAAGTTTCACTCTTTCACGGCCTGTTTCTTGGTGCAAGGCAGAGGCGACAAGGGGAGAGGAAGGGCCTATTTCCATTCAACTAAGACCCCAACCTCAGCTCAAGACCCAGCCACCCACTTCCCCGCCAGCCGTCTCTGGGGATTGGTGGTACAACACTCATTGCTCAGGTCAGGTTAGCGAGGCACAGAAAGATGGAGAGGTTTGTCCAGGACCGGGCCCCTGCACTGGGCAGAGCTCAATAAAGCCCCAGCTTCATGGGCCTTAGGCCCAGGCTCCCTGTAGTTGGGAGATGATCAGGCTGTCTTGGGACCTGGGTGAAAAATGCAGACTGGTGTCAGAAGCCCTTGGAAAAAAAGCACTCTGCCACTGACAGCCATGCAAGTCTCCTGGCCCCTTGCTGAGCCACAGAATGGGAATAACAACACCTTCTTGGCAAGGATTCTGTGAGGATTAAATAAGATGTTCTACCTGGTCTGTTGGCAGGTATTTATAAGCTCTGCGATATGGCCCCTAAAGAAGACCCATGGAAGAGTAAGAGGGAAGGGTGAGAAAGGGGACAGAGGCCAGGCCAAAGCATCCTCTCTAATAACCAAGAATAGGATCCTGTTTCCCTCCGCGGTTCACGAGGAAGTAGGTTCCTTTGATCGGCATGGCTGCTCTGGCCAGTTGTTAGTAATATGGAGGTGGATGGCAAGAGAGGCAGCCATGTTTAGAGTTACCTCGGTGACACCTACCTCCCCCCCCCCCCCGCAAAGCCAAGGAGAGCAGCCTCTGGTCCTGGAATCATTGCCCCATTGTGTGGTCTTTTATGAGGCTACAGCTGAAGACCTACACAGCGATGTTGCATTTTTACAACACTAGGCATAAAGCGGTGAATCCTTCCACTGGTGCTGTGGATTAGATGATCATTGAAGACAGGGATTGGAAGTGCTTCCCTTATTAATCAACACTGATAATTAACGTGCAAGCACATGGTATCGACAGATAAAGTGCAAAAACACAGACGGGAGAATGTGTCATCTCGCCAAATTATACAACTAACGTCCAGCCTCCTGAAAGCTCAGGCACGCGTCTCTAAGGGGGATGGAAGTAGATGGGAAGACCTGCGTGCACCTGTGTCATGCAGCTGACGGGACTCCGGGAATGGCCCAAGGTGCGGGCAGTCTGCTGGCTCTACGATGAAAACACTGATGTCCCTCCCAACCACAGTCGAAACTGCTACCACCTTATCCCCTTTTCCACGTTTCCCGTGATTACGCATCCGCTTACAGTCTAGGGAACGACGACTTGGGACTTTCTCGAAGCTACGCTGCCCTAGGAGAAAGGACTCACCAACTGTAGAAACTCAAGCCTGAGCTGGGTTTGCCCCTTCCGCCCAGTCCTTTTCTCCAATTCAGCAGAATTTTCTTCTGATTTCATGCAGCTACGTTGCACCTCTCCTGGCGAGCAACCACACGGCTTCTAAGGTAGCAACCACAGGCAAGAAAGCATTCTAAACAAACCACGGCTTGCTTCCTTGTCGTCCTGCCATTTCATCACGCCTGGACCCCAAACCTCTGCTGAGAGGCATCAGCCACAAAGCAAGCGTTGCAAAATTCGTTGTTGCCAAAACAGAAGCAAAAGAAAGGCGCCGGTTGCTACATCCAGTGGAGATTCGGGAAAGAAATGGCGCTCCAAACCCACAAATGAGCCTGTGACCGCCAATGAGATGATAAAATAAATACTTAATTGTTCGGGAAGCCATTTTTCTCTCTGGGGGTTGAAGGAATTAACCAAACACTTAAGACATTTGAGTGCGTTTCTCCTTGCTGATGTGTGAGAGTTGGGATGGAGGCCGGGGAGACGGGTTAGCAGGTGGAATCCCGGAGAGGCAGGAAGCCCCTCCATCCTGGGCCACTTTCCTCATGACACACAATGGCCTAACCCAGCCCCAGGGGGACACCCCTACATACATCCACACATTTCCAAAGCCCAGAAGCCCGTGTCCCGTAAGGAGGCACCCTCCCCCTTCACACTCCCCCCCTCCACGATACCTTCCCATCATTTGGCACGTTTTGTCTTTAAATCCACCCCCAAAAGATTTCCCACCACATCTGCCTCCCTCTAGCCCGCAGCCTGGGTTAGCGTAAGATTTGACTGACCTACAGACCGACCGCCTGGGGGCGTAGGCCTGGCCCCAGGTTCATGGGCAAGCCCTCACCATGGGACCCAGCCCTGGGCAAGCCCACCTGCCTTGGAGAGGGAGAGGGCAAGCGCAGGGCCAAGAACCCTCCACCTTCCTGGTTCAGCCAAGGGCCTGTGGGGCGAGGAACAGCAGGATAAATCAGGGACGCTCCCCACCCCCCCCGCCCCGGACCATTCAGTCTACTCCTTCCAGAATCAAAAAAACTACTAGCTTTTGGAAAGAAATTTCACCAGGTCGGGCCAAACCCAGTCCTGAATGTCTCCGGGTGAGATTCACAGGTCTGGTATGGGGAACTTGTTGCTGTCAACACAAAGGCTGTCCGAGGGACCAGAAAGGACTGTGTGTGTGTGACGTTATTCCAGGTGTCCCTAAGACACATGTGGATGGAACTCCAACTCCTGACTCATCCCCTTATCAAACCTGTCACCTCCAGGTCCAGCCATGAACTCAGTTGTGTCCCCAAAATGGCTATGTTGTGGCGCTAACCCTCGACATGATGGTATCCGGACATGGGGCCTTTGGGGGTGACCAGAGTCGATGAGGTGATCAGGGTGGGGCCCCCATGATGGGATTAGTGCCCTCATCAGAAGAGATGCCAGAGAATTCGTGCGCTCGCCCTCCGCCCTGTGCCGGCCCAGTGAGAAGGTGCCCGTCCCAAGAGGGTTCTCCCCAGAACCCCACCTCGCTGGCTTCCCGATCGCGGACGTCCAGACTCTAAACGGTGAGAAAATTAATGGCAGCCGAGCTCAGATACGCCCACAAGCCCTGTTCTGCCAGAGCACCTGCCTCTCTGATGTCTCCATTTACGCTCACACGGCAGGCATCCGCCAGCGAAGCGGCCAAGGTTAAGTGACTTGCCCGAGGTCAAAGGACTTTTCCAAGGCCACATGGCTGGTCCGCAGCAGGATTTGAACAAGGAGCAGACGCTGATGCTACGGCCCCAACGTTCCCACTACCACCACACCTTTATGCGGTCTGGGTCTGGGGCCGGGAGACCCCCTCTCCTTGCCGCATGCGTCGGAACCCATCTCTCTGTCCACACCCAGCCTCAACTGCTGCCTGGTTTCCTCCAGCCCAGAGCCCCTTCTCCCTGCTCCGCCCTCCACTGACCTCACAAAGGCAGCCTTCCCACGTCTGGCAAGGTCGGAGGAGTCTCTGAGGGCGGGGGCCACGGACCTGTCAGTGCAGGGGCTGAGCACAGCGGTGAGGGGCGCACGCCCTCGGGGCAGACTCGCGGGGAAACAGTGCTGGGGGCCAGAGGGCGTGGGTCCCAATCTCAGCCTGCCACGTCCTGCCATGGGCTGGAGGCAGGCCCTGGCACGTCCTGCGAATCTCTGGGAATCAACGAGTCACCACGTGACAGGTGCTTCCGACAGCGTGTGGCCCATCACGAGCACTCGAGCTTCAGTTCCTTCGTCCGCAACGTGGGAAGGACAACGTGTAACCTGGCAAGGGGTTGTGCGTGAATACAACCGGCTCCGGGTCAGGCCGCGAAAAAGTGTGCTCGCGCCGTTCCTCTCCCCGTCGTTAACGTGTGTTTTCACCGGCCACGTGGAGAACATTTGGTTAACAGGCTGAACTGACTGGACGGCCACCCTCTTTCCCC